TTCGCCGCGAAGGACAAACGGTCCATCAACGACGATAAGAAGTGTTCGCCTTAAGACGCAGAAAAGACGAGCCAACGAAGTTAAATGAGCTTTTGTATTTCAAACCATTAGAAAATTTTCAGTCCTCTCAATTATCTTAGTATACATACCAAGATAAAACTAAGGCCACGCTTACAAGAAGAACATTAAGAATTCACTTTTATAACAAAGGTGAACAAGATAGAAGATAAAAGATTAGACTAGATTCAACGGAGAGACGTAAGCTGCTTTCAAAAAAAAAATTCGACCCATTTAGAAAACCCTTTTGCACTTTATGTACAGTGTATCAAAATATCCTGCTGTGTCAAAAAATAGGTCATGAAGAAGGCTCAGTTAAGTTCAGGATATGCATTGCCCGCAACCACCCTAACACACCATGGCTAATATTTTCATACCTTTAATTATACCGCTTTTTTCCCAGTGGCAGACTGATTGAAGAATTATTTATCGTGCAACAGGATAATGCGTCAATCCCACAAAAGCAAAATGATAACTAAATTCTTAAAAACTATAGAGCTTACTATAGTCCTCAAATTCCGAATCTTGGAGTAACCCTTACAAAGATATGGCTGCGGCTAACTCCCCTACACACCATAATTATAATCTTATGCCCTTAGAGGTCCTTCAACGCTTAGTGTACTCAGTTCGAAAACCTATTAAGTATTAATGTTATGGCTAATAAATACAGACATAGGCATTAGTTGCCAGTATCCTTCCATATCCACCTCGCAGCCAATACTAACGAAAGCAAAAATGAACCGAAAACTAGCTTTGAATTATTAATATTCCGGCATCCAGCTTTGCGTGTTTTTTTTATGTTTTTAAATAATCTGAAAAGATCATTTATGCAACATTTACGCTTATCCGATTTACAGAATGCCCCAAGTCTAGGCCCACTGAATACAAATTTGCATGCATCGATGTGCTTCTGGAATATTTGCCTGCATAAACAAACCAACAATAACACTGAAGCGGCATCAAAGCCGCTTTGCATAACCAATACTATAGGCATCAATTTATGCATGTACGGGCGACTACACTCAGTAAAAAAAAGGCATGGATCTCAGAAAATTGCCCTTAAAAATGGATTACCTTACAAATGATAATGCTTTTGCCATTTGGTAGAGTTTTTGTTCTTTAAGTTAGGGAAAACTAACCAATTGAGACAGAGTTTCCATTTAAACTGATTCTAGTATTATGAGAATATTCCAAGTTCTGATCGAATTAAATACAAGCTTCTGGGTGTCCAAAAAGTCCAAATAAATGTTCTTCTTATATGAAGTATTTATATTTAAGCTTTGTTTAAAAAATAATATACTAATTGTGGCAGCTGAAACTGGCAATGAGAAAAGTAATCTTCAGGCAGCAGAATACACAAAATAATGCAACTCCTCCTGATTGTATTTACGAATTAATAACTGCTGTAATAAAAAATGTTAGCTCCTCAAATTAAACAAATTTCAGCTAAATGAAGGCGCTTAGAAATACTTAGCGAAAGCAACTATTGCTCCACCATGCACAATCTCTGATGATTAATGAGGATATCGAAAAATTCATTCTGTTCCAGCTCTATTTTCAACCAAACTACTTACTAGTTAAAAGGTTTAACCAGGAGGATGAAAGTATTGGAAAATTTATATTAATTAAGTGTGTGAAATCGATATTTAAATCGCATTTTCCTCAAGCTTATTACTAATCAGTTTCCAAATATTCCAATTCAATTAGCAAATACATATAATTCTGTTTTTCCACGGAATATAGGTTCCAGAATAAGTCGCGTATAAAAACCGTGTAAAAAAGACATTAATTATGCATTATTTTAAATCGTGCTAAATGAAATAATGTCGTGTAACCATTTATAAAATTTTTATTTTTCAAACCGTGTTAAATCAAAACCGTGTAAAAACAGAATAAGGTGTACTCGTATACAAACAATTTTAAACATAAATAGGTTATTATTTTTATATTTTTATTACATTTGTCCGATTTCAAGAAATTTTGGGGTCTGGCAGGAACGGCTAGCAGGAATCCCAGATTGTGATAAGCATGATTGAAGTTACGAAAATAATACTTGCAGTCTTAAATTCTATAAATGTGGTCTCTTATTATAAAATATAATGGTTTCGCGCTATAACCAAAGCTGCAATCCAATTCGCAACACAATAAATAATATTTTAAAACAGAAAAAAGAAGAAAGAAATTACATTCTTATTTCAACAAAAATTATAAACCCAGTTCTGGTGATAAATTTCTAAAAGTAAACAAAATACTTAAAGAAAATAGTAGGAGCTCTGGCTTTTTACTTTCTTAAACAATAGTTTCCTAATGCAAGAATTTTTTACGCAGAAAAATATTTCCCATTTTAAGAAGATTAATAAGAAAATTAATAAGAAAAAGTTTTAAGAAGAAAAAGAAGAAAAGCTTTTAAAGTGAAAGGCCAACATCATTTTGTTAATTTTAGTGCCGAATTTCCAGGAACAAAGACATCTTTTCTCTGCGTGTACTCAGCATTAGATTTGTATGTAGCAGGTGGATATTATATAATTTTCTCTCATGGAGACAGCTTGCGCATATCGCGGCCGCTTCCGTTTCGACTTACCATGAATCAATTAAAGAGGTTTTAGCTCGGGCTTTGGTCAGTTGACGTTTGCGGCTTTGTGCGGTAATTCGTTGGCCACGCCAATGCGGTTACCACAACAATCGTTTGGCGGGGCCCGGAACAGGAGCGGCAAATGACATTTGACAGGTTTATTGTGCCTATTTTAATGCCATTGTCTATTGTCTATTTCGCCATTATGCCCTCAACTCAAACTGATGAAGACAAAGTGTGCCGCGATACGCAAACTTAAGCTACAATCAGTGGCAGCAGTAAGTGAAAGACAGAGTTTGAATTGTATCTTTCGTATTTTGGTTTTGGTTTCCCAATTTTCTTCATTTCGCTTAATCGAAATGACATCAATGACTGTTCATTGAAGATTCATTTTAATTTAGCTTTGACTGAATTGAACTTTGCATAGAACTTAACATTTAGGCATATCATTTACGTAATTATAACGCTATAAAAGCTTAGTTTTTAATACACAAATTTCTACAATTACATTAATCTACAAGCTTGTGAAATTTTTTTGTTCTGGACACAACATTAATTAGCTGCAGTTGACAATTTCAATATCTATCGATAAAAAAACGCCAAAGTTTTCTGCTTTAAATTTGATTAAAACTAAAATGTCTGAATAGGTAATAATTGTTAATAATAGCCCATCAAGATGTGTGGGCTTATTGAAAATCAACAATAAACATAAAGCTTTCGTCAATAGTGTTTAAATTTCATAATTGTTTATATCTTCAAATGTAACGATCAATCAGTGTTATTCATAAATATTATCATCAATCAATCAAATGCAGTAACTGGAGTAGCTTTAAACAAACAAGTGTAGAAGTAAGTTTTTATTTTTGGCCTTTTGAAAATCAACAATAAACATAAAGCTTTCGTCAATAGTGTTTAATAAAAATATCTTCAAATGTAACGATAAATCAGTGTTATTCATAAATATTGTCAGCAATTTTCCAACCAAAGGACTGCCTTTTGACTGCAGTATCTTTAAACAAACAAGAGTAGAAGTAAGTTTTTGTCGTTCATTTTCGATACGACCACTTGTTCATAAAAATATTTTGCAACTCAAATCTAAAACTAGTTACTCCTGAATCCGAAGAAGGGAAATTCATATTTTTAAGCTTTTTGAGAAAATACAAATTTAAACTCGAAAAAAATTAAAGTACGTCCTACTGCATAAATAAAAATCTGTTACTAATTTTAATAAATTATAATCACAAGTGGCTTTAAAAACTCACAAAATTCGTACAACTATCCACCTTTGGCAGTAATATAGTATTGCAGCAAAAATTAATGTACAAATAAAACAAGAGAGAACGCTACAGTCGAGCAAGCCCGACAGTGTAATACCCTGTACCCAGGTAAACTTCCGTCACTGAGTTATATGTGCCCATAGCAGCAGCAAAAAGAGGAAGAAGAAGAGCGAACTTGTTGCTGCAGTTTGGGGGGGTTGTACTGGCGAGAATTTGTTTCTTGGAATTGACCGAATTGAATAAAATTTTGAACAACAATAGACAATTATATATAAATTATGTGTGCAAAGTTTGGTTTAGGTAGCATTTGAAATGTGGACGCTATTGACGAAATTCTGTAGCGGGGGAAGGGGGGGAAAATTCCAAAAAATAAAATAAACTCGTCCTTTCTCGGACCTAGGAGAATCTGGATGCCAACTTTGGTTATTCTAGCTTTTATAGTTTCTGAGATCCTTGCGTTCATCCAGACGGACGGACAGACGGACAGACAGACGGACAGACGGACGGACATGTCTAGATCGATTTCTCTCGTCATGCTGATCAAGAATATATATACTTTATGGGGTCGGAGATGCTTCCTTCTGTATGTTACATGCTTTGCACAAACCTAATATACCCTTTTTACCCTACGGGTACAGGGTATAAAAATATAAGAGTATTATCAATTGGTAAATTACTAGATTTTAGGAGATTGATTAAAATTTTAAGAAGAATACAATTGTCCATAATATATAGCTTGCCAAATATTTTATTTACTTAAAACAAATCACAGTCGTTATGCATAGAATATTTTCAGTTTTTATTTAAATTGCATTAAAATATCCCATGCGTGAACTGCTTGCACTGCACTCTACTAGCAATCATAAAGCAGTGCGTGCAACCTAAGGTAAGCAGTCCAAATTACCCACAAAGCATGAACGACTTTATAAATTTTCGCTGCTCTCTCTCGAATATGAAGAGCTCTCTTTAATAATAAATAAATAAAGACAATAAATAAATAAATAAATAGAAACTAAATAAATAAATCACTAGAATTAATAAAATAACACCTCCAATCGTATCCAGTGGCTAGTTGGATTGAAACACCAAAGTTGTTAACTTTTTCAACAGTTTAGTCACTTTATTAATTTCGAAAAAGGGGATTTGCTACACTTAAACGGTATAAAGTAATTATTATAATAAAAAACGTATTATCAAGTAGTTAAATGTATGTAGATACATAATGTACAATCGAAACAGGCGAAACAAAAACATGTTCGATTAAAGCACTCGTTAACAATTGCTTAGGTTAAGGTCAATGCATAAATGTTTATGTACAAAGGACTCGCTATTGGTCCATGTTAACAATTTGTGTGATTGTGTGATTATGTGTGTATTTGTGTGTGTGTGTGGGTGTGGGTGTGATAGAGAGAATTAATCATTAACTAGTTTACACTTGTTCAGCTAAACAAGATAAATTCAAATACAAGCTCCATTTAGTTAATTATTAGTTTATAAAGCCCATGTTGTTTACAAAATTAATTTCGATGTGGGGGTTACAAGTTTAGAAATGAATGTTTAGTTAAAAATATTGAAAAATTAATCAGTATAAAAGTAAAAGTGAAAGTTCTGCTAGAAATCGATTTTCAACTTTTAGTTAAAGCTTTCCCAATCGGAAGATTAAGTTGGATAAGCTTCCGAATCGATGGAATATTGAGCTTAGAGACTAGTTTTGATAATCTTTGTCAACTGTGGTACTAATTTCTATCGACGTTTTCAAATGTTCTTGTGTGGCCCACAAAATCGAAATTAGTTCTGTTTGTTAGGCTTTATGGCATTTCTCTACAATTAATGCGTTGCTTTACGCTCAGCACTTGGACGTGTTGTGGATTGTTGGTTGGTGTGTGTTCCGTGGAAACTTCTACCGTTCGAATACAAGCACAAAATAAAGGCCAACATATTGTGCATAAAGGTACTTCTGGGAGGCGACATGGTCGTTTCATAAATTTTGATGTTTGTTGCTCTACGCCGAAGCCGATGCCGATGTCGACGTGGAGGCCGCAGCCGAGGCCGAAGCCATGGCCACAGCATTGCGGGCCAGCACCGTGCGCAGTCGATCCTGCAGATAATCACAAATCGAGGTGTATTTCTGTTGTCGGGCCAACTGCAGCGCCGTCAGGCCCTCCTGATTCTTCAGCAATACATCGGAGCCGGCGGCCACCAGCTGCTTGCAGACGGTCATGTGGCCGAACATGGCTGCCGCGTGGAGCGCCGACTCGCCGTTGGGCAGCAGGCCCAGATTGGGTCGATATTTCAGCAGCACGGTGATGACAGCGGCGTGTCCCTTGTGGGCGGCCTTAAACAGGGGCGTGGCACCGTCGCAACGCACTGCATCCACGTTGGCGCCATTCTGCAGCAGCACCTTGCATATGTGGTCGTGGCCCATTTGTGCGGCTATCCAGAGGGGCGTAGCGCCATCGATCCGCTTGATGTCGGTCTCAGCATCCGCCTGAATGAGCAGCGACAGCACCGTCCGATGTCCGTTCTGAGCGGCAATAAACACGGGAGTAGCACGATCCTACAAATCGATAAAAAGATGAGGATTTCCATCAAAGAACGCCTATTAATGCTCACCTTCATGCACGCATTTACATTCGCACCACAGTCCAGTAGCTCCCTCACAATCTTCACATGTCCCCCTTGGGCCGCCACAAAGAGGGGCGTGCCTCCATCCACACTGGGCGTGTCCACACTGGAGCCCGCCTTCACCAAAATCTGCACCACATCCAAGTGGCCGCCTTGGGCGGCAAAGAACAGTGGCGTGGTGCCTGTGGAGCGACGGGAATTGGGATCAGCACCTTGGTCCAACAGCTCCATGACGCAGTGCGTGTGTCCGCCAGCTGCGGCCAAGATTAGAGGTGTCGTGCCATCCTGTGGAGAGGACAAAGCGATTAAGCAGTGAGACTTAGAGATGGAGCACGTAAACTGATAAAACAAACCTAAAAATATTTATAGTAATTATAAAGATTAATAAAAATGTTTAATGTTAAAATTTAAATAATAATAAACAAAAATTAAAAAATTAAAATAATAATAAGAAAATAACCTAATAATAAACTCAAAATAATTAAATTTGTAATAACTAGCGAAATAATTTAAAAGTAATCCAATACTTGCAACGCTAGGATCAGCCTTATAAATAAATAAATACAAAATAAATATAAAAAATATATATATTATAAGAAGAACGAGATATGTATATAAATGTTGACAGTGGGATTCGGCGAATCCACTTTGTCTCAAAAAAGTGTTTATAAGTGGAGCAAGCGCTTCACAGAAGGACGAAGAGATAATCGAAACAATGATACATTTTATTGGGTAATCGTCGAATCACTATTAGGGAAGTTGTAGAGCATGTTGGCATATCAATCGGCTCATGCCATGTAATTTTCTCGCAGCAAAGCTTGTTCCGAAATTGCTAAATTTTGAGCAAAAGCAAATGCTACGGGCCCCGCGAATTTGGGGGTTCCCCGCTCCAAAGCCTGTCCTCATCATAATAAAAAATATTAATTTAGATAGGAACGTAAAATACCTTGCATGACTATGAATTAAACGCAAAGCGCTTCACTTCCACTTGAAAATCTAAAACTCGTAAAAATAAGTAGGTGTTTTACGAACTTTTTAACGTCAATGTTCTCATGTTTAATTATGATCGATATATTTAGACTAGAATCTATACCACATATCTACTCTTGAAGCGGCCAGATTTTATTTTTTTATGTAGGTATACATTTAGTTTACGTAGCTAAGATTTTTTAATCGACTTACTTATAATATCGATTATAAGTATTTCGAAAAAACAGGCGAAATAAATTTTATTAACTCAGTCACGATTCAATCTGCTGTGGTTGCTTGATTAATTATAAAATATAGATTCATTTTATGAGTAAATATAGCTGTCCTTTTTTTGGATCGATTATCATATCGATCATGTTTCGAGATTATTGAAAGTTAGTGATGGTAGACTAAGAGCTAGGTGTTTCAGAGTCTCAAGTAAAAAGGCGGGTAATTTAAAAATGAACTATTCAAATTATAAACAAAACGTTTCTTAATTAAAAATTGAACATTTTATGTGTTCGTCGACATTTAATTTCCGTGAATATCTTTACAATAAAATAAGTGCTTAAGGTATGCACATTTGGATATTTTGAATTTTAAACTTTTTTGAAATTACTAAAGGTAGGTGTAGGTATACTATAATAATGAATGAATTAAGGAACACGATGGGCCAAGAACGGCTTAACCATCTCACTTTGTTGAATATAGAGCATGATTTGCTTAGAGAAGTCGATATTGAAAGGGTTATCTCTAAATTTGCCCATATTAAATCCAGAAGAGTTTAGTTGTAACAGTTTTGTTTTATTTAATACCCTAAACTTGAGAACCTAAAGCAACATTCCCCGCGCTGGCTTAATCCGACACTGAGTCGTTGTTCGTGTTTTTTTGGCCAAAAACAACAACATTTGGCTCCCTGTGACTATTCCTATTCCCAAAATTGAAGAGACCACTGAAAGGAAAGCGTTTTGCCATAATTGATGAGATAAAGTCGGAATCGAAAAATGAGCTGATGGCCCTACCGAAAATCGCATTTCAAGGGTGATCCGAAGATTGGAAGAAGCGCTGGCATAAGTGCATCTAAGGGGGATTACTTGGAAAGGGGAAAAAATAAATATTTTTCCAGAAAAATTAAAAGTCCCCTTACTTTTTGAACACACCACGTGTATGTGTAGCTTCAATTGTGATATATTTTTCAATACTCAAGAAACTTCACCAAACAAGGAACACAATCGACGACTGAATGATAAATTGAAAAGAAATGTCATTACATAAACGAAACTTGAATAAGCCATCAAAGCGTTCACTTTAAAGCTACAGATAGATTGCGAAATGTTTCCAAAACTAAGGCGGCTCTCCAACTTTGAGTGAAGCTAACACTTTGTTTACGAAACCACGCACCAATTGGTAAAGAAGCCAAAACTGCAGCCGTAGAGGAACCGAAAAAAGTTACAAAAAAATGAAATTAAATTTCACTTGTCGTTTCACTGAAGCGAACACGCGTCAGCTGCACGAGCTAATGAGAGTCAGGGGGCTGGGGGGCTTGGCAGCTGGGGGTATCGGTGGCACGACTGCCATTTCCAGCGCCCCGTCCCAAAAGGGCACAACAGCAGTGACCGAACGACGCGTCGCACAGTGGGGCCTTAGGCCGAAACAGCTTGCGAAAATCAAAATTTTCATGAACGCTTTGGGAGTAATGAATAAACGTGTCTAATAGTTTTTTTTGCAAAGATTACGAAAATCTTACTCTCAAAAAAATCGGAATTATAGTTTAGGACATATGTGCACTCAAAGTCGACCCTTTTTTAAGCTCGCAACAATTAATTCAATTTGATGCAAATACTTCATCTTTCAGGTATAATATTAGCTAAGTTATGAAACGAATCATTGATGTTTTGATTTGTATTGCTAGATGAATTAATTTTATGCATTATTTAATAAAAACTATGTCTTTCGTATTCGTAGTTATCTAGAAAACGTTATTTTTTAAACTACCTATTTTTAGGGTGTTTTTCAACTTTGATGGAAAATAAAAAAAAGTACCCAAAAGTACCTCGCCCATATTTTCAAAATATGTTCCTTAAATATTCTTTTACCTAACGCAATAAAACTTTCATCCGCCCGGATCCGCCGGTGTGCACCAGAGCAAAAAGAGTGCCGCAACTTCGGAAAAAATCAGCGAAAAAGGCGCTGCCGCGGGTATAAGAAGAAGAATGCATTGCAGGTAGATTCGCTGTAACGGCTATTAGGAACATTGTATTTAGCATTATGGATACAAAAATATACCTAAGCGGTCCTATTTGATCCACATTTAATATTGTGCAACCAAAATTATGCATAACATTTATTACAGGTAGTGTAATTTACAATATCAGGTGAAGGTCTTGCAATCTTTTTGACCCTTTCATGAATTGTAATCTCTTTGCTTTAAAGCATTTGAACAGGCAAAAAGAGGTTTTAGTTTATTATCTTAGGTATGCGTTTAGAAATGGTATATATTGCCAATATTTTTGGTGCAGCGTAATAGTCGAATTTTGACTTAAAAAGCAATCAGTTGTGTCTAACTAGCAGTGAATAGTATTTTTCAATATAATTTACGTTTAAATACCTTAAAAGTGATTTTTCTTTAACATTAATTTATTCTAAAATCAAACAGAAATGGATAAGCGTAGGATATAGCAAGCAGAAATTTGATTTAAAATATGAAATCTGGCTATCAACGACTACGTACTTGGATACATCAATGGACGATGTACCCTCTACATCAACTGGACGAGCCAGAGGAAGACCAACGAAATCCATTGAAGAATGCTCGGATTTTACAAGAAAAAGAAAGCTTGTCGATGTCACAGAAGCCATAGCTACGGATCACTTCTCGGAGGCGCTGTCCATGAAATACGTTATGTAAAAAAAATTTTCAATATTTTTAAATTAAAAAAAAATTTGTAATATTTAAACAATTTTTTGTTCAATTTTTAATTTGTTAAAAACTAAAAATATAACATAACTGAAAATAATTGTATCATTAAATGTTTTTTATTAGTTTGATTAGGCAAATATTGCACTGGCAACAAAATCCAACTTTGAGCACACATTGCGCAGCTCCTAGAAATCACAGCACAATGCGCTATGACTTGTTTCAAAGCTTAAGAATTTTTCTTTCAAACAAAATTTGAATGACGAAAATTGCTTCAGCCGTTCAGAAGATATGATTTTTGCAACGAAAAAAGTCCGAAGGCCCCACTGTGCGTCGTCAGAGCACTTCACCTCCCAGCCTGTTGTCATCCTCTCTACGTGACTGGGACTGCAAATGGCACCAATGGAACAGACGATTTGAGCTTTGATTTACTCTCACTCGTAATCGTACTCGTACTCGTAATCGTACTCGTACTCATTCAGCTCTAGTCCCAGCACGCATGCAAATCGGCGCGCTGCGATTTATTGGCTGAAATGAAATCGCAGCTCAAACAATTAGCTGCTCAATCAAGCAATTTGCCAGTCAATGGCTGTCGTTGAAAGCGCACCACAATTGCAAATGCCAATCACCAACTAAAACTAATTAATTGTTTGATTGCGTGGCAGATAAAAGGAGGTATCGAAACTGAAGCAAACAAATCAAATAAATAGCTGTTCAGGGGGTTAACTTTAAGGCAAGCATTTCAAAAATAAAGTCTAGCCAATAAAGGACTCTCTGATCGAAGTACTTAAAGTTACTGGAATTTAAACGACAGATAAAGTATAAGTTAGTATAATAGTGAGAGGGGTGCTGAAAAAATAGCTAACGAACTATTACAGGGACTATCGATAGTATCGACAATTGCATTTTGGAGTCTCTGATGATAGGTTTCCAAAAGAGAAATTAAGACTTTTTGAGGCTAAGCTTGACTAGACATTTAGTGAAAAGCTAACTTTCAAGCAAAATTACGAAATAGTTTTTACAAAGTTGATTATTTTGACAAACCCAGGTATATTCATTGCCGATTATTAGCATAGTTTTAAAACTAAAATCATCGGAATCGAACCGAATTCGCTTTCGCTAATGAAATAGAAAACACTTTGTACTGGCACTTTGACAAAAACAAATAAAATTCTATTGAATTTTTTATTTTTCGAATAAAAAAAAAGGAATTTTAGGTAATCAATCAATAAAAAACGCCATTAGTTATAAAAGTTATCCATTTAACTGTAATCTTATAAAGTTCGTCTGTTTGTTTTTAACAATTGTCATACACTTTTTAACTTTTACCCTTTTCTTTTAAAGTCTCTCAAAAGTTAATTGTAATACACACATAGGGCTTTTTAAAACATTCTATATTATAGTTCTACATTTTCTTAGAATTTTGCTGTAGATCTAGGAACTCTTATAAATTTATAAATTTCACCCGTTGGCCGTTTAATAATTGTCATACATTTTTTTAACTTTTAACAAAGAAAAGTAATGTAAAGTCTCTCAAAAGTTAATTGTAATACATACATAGGGTTTTTTAAACATTATTATAGTTCTACATTTTCTTCTTCTGCTATCGATCTGATATCGATCAATTCTGCTATCGATCTAAGAACTCTATTGATGTCTAAACGAAGTCTTTCTATACTTCAATAGTTAAAATCTCTTAAAGTTCTGTGTCTTATGATAATAGATTTCCAAAACTAATTTATGAAGAACACTATATCTTCATATATGAACAGGAAATAATAACAAGTGAAGATCGGAATATCTTCACTTCTCGCTAATTATTTCACTTAAGTTGTGTATTTTTTCAGCTCATATTTTGAATTTAACAAACGAGGCTGTACATTAATTACAAACTCGAACTCAACTATATTGTACTAACAGATTTTTCCTGCGGTCCACAAAGTATTCAACTCACCTCATCCTTGCAATCCACATGCACCTTCCCGCTGTCGAGCACGCGCTGCAGTCCCAACTCATCGCCTCGTAACGCCGCCATGTGCAACTGCACATCCGAGGGCGTTTCTTTCTGCAAAGGGAAGATACACGAATCAATTAACAAGCTGTGGAAACACACAAAGTTTTGGCAGCTGTCACAACAGCGGCCACTTAACTAATAGTCCCGCAAACACCCACGCGGCTGCACTTTCTTGGAAAGGCAACGCCGATACTATTTATGTTGTGAGTCCAAAACAACAAAACGCTTCGCATTGTTGGTGATGGGGGAACCCCCCTCTTTGCACCTCATTGTAATTAAGGCCCCATAACAACGATAATGACGACGACGACGTCGGTCACATGAAATGTCCGGCAACAATAATAAAAAGCAACGGAAATGTAGCCGCATTGGGTGCATTTTTACAATATGTTGGAGCTGTCAGCGATGTCGTGCTAGTGATGGCACTATCGAAGGTAGCAGAGATTTGAAATCACTAAGCAGAGATTAAGGATATCGCTCGAAGGTTTTAAGCTGCATTTACAGTTAGTTTTAATAACTTATGAATTTTTTAGAGGAAAGAATTTTTGGAGGGGCTTTTCTTCATAAATAATCCATTTGATAGTTTTCGGAGAATTGTTGTGAATGCCTATTTTTTCTTTAATTGTGGCAGTAAGTAGCTAAAAAGTGTATAACAGGTACTTAAAAGATTAATCTGCTAGTTTATAGTTTGGATTATGTATTGAACTTTTTAAAAAACTTTAGAAGCAGTTGGAGTTTGTCCAACCCCTCTAGGTCTGTAGGGGCGGTGGAAAGTATGGTTTTCAAATTTAGGCAAAGGGAAATGGAAGGAAGAATTTCATGAGTAAGTTTACAGACTACGAGGTGGGGTCGAATAATTTAATATAATAGACTGAGAAATCAAAGTTTGAAGTGGATCCAGTAGTGTGGCTTTGAACTAGCATAGCAATGTTATTTCATTTGCGTTTGTTGTTTTGTTTTCTTAGGTTCCATTAATGGGATTTATATAAAGTGTTATTTGATGGATTTTTGTGTATAGCTGAGAATAAGAGTGAATCTTGTGGTTTGTTACCCGAGTATTTCAAAGCTAACAGTGTTTTGGAGAAAATATATTTTAAAACTGAACAAATACATAGGAAAAATCTTTTATTGTTCAACAATTTACATTTAATTTTTCGTTATTTCAAAGTTAAACGTAAGAAAAATCTTCTATTGTTCAACAATAGAGAAAATATGTTTTAAAACTCAACAAATAAGTAAGAAAAATATTCTATTCTTCAACAACAGAGAAAATATATTTTAAAACTCAACAAATATGTAAGAAAAATCTTCTATTGTTCAACAATTTACATTACATTTTCGTTATTTCAAAGCTAACAGTATTTTGGGAGAAAATATAATTTATAATTCAACAAACACTTAAGAAAAACCTTCAAGTGTTAAACAATTTACATTTTATTTTTCGTTATTTCAAAGAAAAACATTGTTTTGGGAGAAAATATATTTTAAAACTCAACAAATAAGTAAGAAAAATCTATTATTGTTCAACAATAGAGAAAATATATTTTAGAACTCAACAGAAAAACCTTCTATTGTTCAACAGCTTACATTTAATTTTTCGTTATTTTAAAGCTAACAGTATTTGGAAGAAAATATATTTTAAAACTCAACAAATACGTACGAAAAACCTTTTATTGTTCAACAATAGAGAAAGTATATTTTAAAACTCAACAAATACGTAACAAAAATCTTCTATTTTTCAACAATATATATTTTGTTATTTCAAGGCTAACAGTATTTTGGGGGAAAATATAATTTATAATTCAACAAATACGTAAAAAAAATCTTCTATTCAACAAAAGAGAAAATATGTTTTAAAACTCAACAGAAAAACCTTCTATTGTTCAACAATTTACATTAAATTTTTCTTTAATTCTTCAAGCTTCAATATGGGCGCGAAAATAGCCCACTGCAACAACAGGTGTTAAATGTCAACGGGCTACGGTCGCAGTTTCTGTTTCTGTTTCCGTCGCCCCAGCGCTGGCGACGAAACTAATTTTAAAAAAAAGAGGTGGTGGTGGGGGAACTGCAAGAAATATTTGAGTTAAGCCAAAGAAACAAGAAGAATGTCAATGTGGCGTTAATGGTGGGAATTAAAAGGGTCGTGGGGGAAGCAGGGGGAAGCAGGGGATCGGCAGCACCTGTTGAGAGAAGAGAAGAGCAGAAAAGTCAGGCATCCACCGTACAGTAAACTCTTAAGCAGGCAATGGAAAAAATGCCATAACCGAATCGCTAATAATGACGATGACAAGCGCAGCTAACGCTGATGATGATAATGATATTTATGAATAGGCAGGCACACAGGTGAGAAACACTTTTAATGCTTCAACAACAACAACAGCAGCAACAACAACAACAGCAGCAACAACAGCTCAGACAGCAGCTAGACAGATGTGAAGGAAGAAGTACGAGTAACTGTGCCAGCAGTTGTTGTTTGCGTCACCTGTTGCACGAAACAATGGCCATGTAGATGGTATCTCATAGATACTTTTGGCATTTCATGCCCCGGCATTTGGCCCACATTGTGGCTTTTCCTTGCTCTGGCCTTGCTAAATGGCCACTCAAGTGGCATTTGTATATTGATTGTCGGCCCGCTTATCGGCCTGCCTAATGCCTTTTTATCATGCTCCAGTTTTTATCAGCACTGAGAACAACGAGCAACATAAACAGCTATACACGTATGGTGACAAGCCGTGCCCGACCCACCGAAGCCCCGAAGCGTGCAAAACTTATTGTTTGTTCAGTTAATGAATGTGTCGTTGTTGTTTTAGCTTAAATGGATCTGAGACTCGCAGTGCTTAAATGCAAGATTTACATTCGTTTGCTGGCAAGTGAGAGCAAACATTTGGCCAAGAAATGAAGTATATATACATATATATATTTCTTTAAGTCGTAAAGAAAAAGACTAGCTACTAACAACTACATGCCTTAATAGAAATAGAAAAAGAAATAGCTGGAGTAGAATTAGCTGAGTAAGCCAGAGTTCTCTGCTTCCAATCATCTCAAGTAATTAATAATTTATATTGATTGATTACTTGTCGTCTGCGCAGATATTGTTGCCCTAATATATATTTTTTGGATGTTTTCTTTCACAGTTAGTATAGAGTTACACAAAAAAAAACGTTAAGAAATAATGGAAATATGAAAAGAATAATTTCTCAATGCTAGACTAAGCCAAAGGTTGTCAACAAATCGAAATCAAGGAATGTGAAAAGTTGTAGGACAGATACAAATGTTTAGGAATGCCTTTCGAGCGATTGGTTGTCCGATAAACAAAACTGAACAGAAATATGAAAATAAGGAGAAAGAAAGCACGCTAATTCTCAATACTAGATTTGGCCAATGGTTCTCATCATATACGAAACATTATCAAAGTCTAATGAATGACGAACTCCAGCCATTTATAAGTATACAAAACTAGTGTACTCTAACCGGACAATGTCTTAATCTTCAGCACGTTGCAAGAGCACATTATTAATCAGATAGCTAAATGCAATTCATAAGACTGACAGCTCCATTTTTGGGACACGTTTTAGCTTAAATGGGATCCCGAAGAAATTGAGGTAATTCCAGAAACACAAATAAAAAGTATAAGGATTAACAATGTATGTCAAATATCAAATTTGTCACAAAATTAATTAAATATAACCGAATTACATAAATTGCTTTGCAGAGTTAAAAACGATCAACTTCGATTGAGATTGCTTAATAGAATACATATTTGTGTTTTTCGCTGGAAACTTAATAGTGATAGTTTTCACAGGTACAACAAATAAGTTATTTTGGGAGTATACTTTAATTTTTTCAATTCTGCATATATATTTTAACTGCAATTAAAAAATGCAACAACTTCCTATGACTAAGGGCATAAATTATTTAATTTTTTATTGCTTAAACCGCACAGCAGTTTTTCAAATTAACTTTAAGCAAACTATTATTTTCAAAACCCCCTTCATAATTTGATTAAAAACTGGTAAAGTAAAATGTAAAAATTGCGTGTTTAGCCGAATTTTAGGAATTGTCAGAATAGTACGATAATGTCGATCCTATTAAAAGCCCTAACATAAGTACTTTTAACAGTATGAATAAAAATATTTTTAAAAAAAAGACATTTTATCCCTTTATTCGTATGTCTTAAAAATATATTGTATTGCTTTTTTAATTCAAGTATTTAAAGTGTATATTATGAGCATAGGTTTTAGTTTTAGTAGAAAGACTAAAGCGATTTCTAACATAAGTAGCAGCTGTAGAATATCTTTGCAAACCTTTCAGCAATTTTTAAAGGCCATCGAACATTACAAATCAAATATGTCTATGATTTTTGTTTGCAAATATCTTATTTCCCTTTTTAATCGATAAGCTGCCCGTAATCGGAGCGAAAGCACTCCTAATACGAGCACTTTTCTATGTGGGCCAATGCCTCAACTCACCTTTAGCGACATATTTTCCAACTCCGCTGTAGCCTCTTCCCCTCCTCCGCACACTTCCTTGTCTTCGTTGCAGTTGAGCAGCTGAACCACTCACTAGCGCTTTTCCATTGACCGATTTTCAAATCGTAACTAGTTGGCTGCACTCCAGCACAGCAATGGCAACAACAACAATAACAGGTGGGCAGCAATCAAATCACAACAAATACAGTGATGGCATCATCGCTAGATGCCCGTTGCAAGTTTCAGGTTGCACTTTAATGTTGAAGGTGAGCGTTGAGCGTTGAACGTTGCACGTTGCCGACCAGTTGCCAATGCTGCAAATAAAAAGCAAGCCAAGAACCACGAGGCATTTCAAATTAAGTTGCACAAATACACACACGTAAGAGTATACGAGTATATAGCTAGATAATCGGCGACTAGGCAACAGGTTTAACTTCTCGACTAGCAGCAGAAGAATTCAAAAGAAAAAGTTGCATTCAAATTGGAGCAGCGGTCAAAAGTAGAGCCAGAACCAGGCCTGAGCACAGGTCTGGCTGTCGATAGAGTAGTTCCACGGCTTGTGCATTTTTAAATTCTGCAACACTACGCTACAAAGCGTCGAGAAAGAAAACACACCACTCTAAACTTTATTAGTTCACTCTCAAGAGTTTATATAATGCGTTGTTCGACAGTTACTTTTTAGTCATACTTCATGAAAGATATATTTTAAAAAGATTGTTTTAAAGAAGGCAATATATTAATGTAATAATATAATAATGATTGATAATTGGAAGCGCGGAGACATACAGACAGACATTACTATATCCTTGAACATGTGTCTTCCTTTTGGTCTTACAAATATGAAACCATAGGTGCCAGAAAAGTAAGATAAAAGACTAAAGTTTAGTAAAAGCCCAATAGAGCGATGTCATGCTTTTTAGTTCGAATATTAATATTTCTCGTCAATACAATATTATTATAAGCAGTAGGTATCAGAAGAGAGAAAAACTGATAAGATTGCACAAATAAGCAATTTTAATTAAATTTAATGAGAATACATATCCTCCCAGATCCATCCTTGATCAATTTTTATTCTGATATTTAATTTCTTGTCTACTTTTCCTGCCCTTTTCGATCAAATACGAATATATTAAAATACAAACATATGCGGACATATATCCCTACTAATCTAAAAAAAAAAAATTATTAAATGATTTAACACAACAATAAATATTCAAGGTTGTGAAATTTAAAAATGACTATTAAAATTGAAATATTCATATTTTACTGCAGTATAATTTCTTAGCAGCCTCCAATAGTTTGCACAAGCTTTTGAGACAGCTATCCTAAAAAGACAGCTAACATAACTTTATTATTTAACTAAAATTTGTATCTCTTGCGGTTTCTGTACAATATATGAAGTTGTATTATTTTGTTGTACTTATAAGTATCAAATTGCTTAAAAATAAACGAAAAAATTTACATCGATCAGTTGTTATTTTACCAATATGCTTCTATACATACTCGAATTTAAATGAGTGAATAATGCCTTGGATGAGAAGCTTAAACTAAAGATCAAAACCATATACGGTTGTAAAAAAAAAACTATACTGAATACCTAAAAAATAATTCATAGATGGCGCAGATAAATATCTTAATGTTCATAGAAAATTAAAAAAAAAACAGACGATATGAGCTGCTTAAGTCCAAAAGGCTGTTAACGTGGATGCACCTGTACAGACTGTATTATTATTTTATTATACTATATATTATTTCCTAGTGATAAAAAATAAAAAAATAAAAATATATATGATAAACAAAATGATACCAGGCCTTTGAAAAATTAAATGATAACTCTTTTTCTCTAAAATATCTAAAAATTAAACACTTTATAGAAGGCAGAAAATTATGCAAAATTTCCTCATTAGTTATTGCTAGCAATTGAATGAGAACATGAAATGACGAAATGAAAAATCGATTACTTCCCGGCTACAAAACTGTGCTGCGCAGTGTAATTTGCATGTGAATTTAATGTTTGTTCGTGCATTTAAATGAGCGGCAATTTGCATGTTTTAACAGGCCGGGTCATTTTTTTATTTTAAATTTCTAAAACTGCATATGTATGTACTATATATATAGAGTATATGTGTGTATGTAGGTATGTAGCAACTGATGCATTGACAGCAGATTGGCAAGTAAACAATCGGACTAGGGGCAGGCAGGCACGCAGCACGAATAGTTGGATGGATGGATGCGCGTGTTTCTGCTTTTACTTTGCCCGTTTGTTGCTGTAATTGTAGTTGTTGTTTTGCTTTATTAATTGCATCTCATGGCGGCGCATTTTTTCTGTTTTTTACGCGCGTCATAAGCCTTAGAAGTATTATGTACAATGTATATACACAAGTCGTATGTTTGTTGCCCTCGCGCGCAGCCAACGAGTGAGGCAGTCAGTCAGTCAGTCTGCCTTGCCTTTCAACTTTTGACCCAGAAAATAGTTTTAGTTTACGTTTTTGTTACTCTTGCTCTTGCTGTTGTTGTTGTTGTTGTAGGTAATGTGCTTTCATCATCATCATCAGCAGCACAGCATCACAACAACAACAACAATAACATAAGTACAGCCCTCACGCACTCTGTGCGCTGACATCACTTTTCCCATTTCTCCATTTATTTTTTTATTTCCACTTTTTTACTATTTTTTGAGTGCGCAGGAAATTAAAAGAGCTTCTTTATTTGGCTGCCTGAACTCTCTGCTCAATTGTTTTTAATTAGTTTTTTATTTTTATGCCTTAATTTGAATTACAAGTCTTGATTGGTGGCAGCCAGCAAGCTGTGCCACAAACTTTGAATTGTCCATCAAAATCGCCATTGCATCGTTTAAAAATAATGACGACATTGATTGCCAATTTGCTGTAATAAGTTGTTGAAAACCCGCAATTAGCAATTCATTTATAACTAATGGTTATGAATAACGATCTTGAAAGTGTTTAGACGCAATAAGTGAGATATCTTGGCAAGAAAAGGGAAAGCGGCATAAAAAAAAGCGATTAAACATAGCAATAATGTTACCGCTTTTCGGAATCTAAGCCACATGCTTGGAAATAATATTATCGTTTACTATCAATCAAAATATGCATAACTTTATTTAAAACTTGTTCAATGAATCAATTGAAAGTTTTAAACGACCTTTAAAAGGAATTCATTTACACTATTCTTAGCACATGATTATTCAATACTTTAACGTTAATTATTAATCAATGCACCTCAATTTTCTCTTTCGTTTTTTAGATCAGTTACGCAAATTGAAAGTTAAAGCAACTTAACAGATAATACACACCAGGGGTTCATACACTGCTCCTTGATATTATTTTTTTAAACACGATTCCAGCTATGCCGTCTGAGACCTTTGATGCCTATATTGTTTAATAATAATAACTTTAACTCCCTAGTAGAAGAAAAGGTTGAAAACTTATCCTGAGTATAACTCGTTACTGATTCAAACTATCTATTTGCAGCCACTAAAGCGCAGTTTTGGAAAACCTTCAATGAACTTTAGTTTGAAGTCAACTTTTTACTTTTTATTCACAATGCTTGAATTCAGCTCTTAAATAAGGGAATATGGGGATCAAATTTGATATTTGATGTCTAAATGCCACTCATAATAAGCATTATATAGTAATTATGATATCTTATATCGGTCATCAATGCAAAATATATCTGAAATTGATCCAAAACTCTAAAAAGTTGTTCTTTAAACTCCCATTTGTCGTTAACTATTAAGTGCAATATGCAATATTCTTCTATATAAATACATATATTATTATAAACAATGTGCGCATCTTCCTTAGTATTTTTTCATTCTTACAAAAAGTTCAGTCCAAAGTTAAATCTATGCAATTTTACAATATTTATCTAAAGCGAAGCAATTTTAGTCACATTTCATGATAAAGTCGACTATTGCTTCTGAAATTTAAGCCGAACTGATTTTGAATTTAACTCTATCGATTGGGCCAACGTATAATAACTTTCTATCTTATCTGAGAAGTATAAATTTATACAAATTGATCAGATACCTAGCAACCTAACTAGTTCCACATTGCAATGGTTTAGCTTGAGCATCAATAGTCTCTCACCCTAAATATTGCTGTATTGGTACCAAGCCATATTCAATACAGAGTTTTTAAACTCGATACAACAATATAAATAACAACCATGCCTTCTTACGTTGCAAGAACAATTCTGTATCACCATTTAAAAATGGGTATCCATCTGTATAATCTCATTCGAGCTTTACGTGGTAGGCACAATTTGCGATCATTTCCAACCTAGTTCGATAGTACAAATAATTTAACTCACGTTTTATATAAAAACCAACAAACATACGTAATATTGGTTCCGAAAAAGATATTTTCCCTGAGCTCTTTTTCAAGGCAGATGTTTAAAATTTTAAGTTAAGATAAGAGCAGTAAATTTTAAAATTTAAAAAACTATTTTAAAACCATTTATTTGTGATTAATATTGTATAATTGACAAAAATTCGGAAATAAATCTAGAACTTGTTCCAGTTTTCGAAATGTTGTTTAAAGAAAACAATAAAATTCAAAAGGGTCTTTAAATGTATGAAAAATATAACACCTAATACCCTAGAATTTCCCAGCAAAAAATGGAATGCTATTATTTGTAGGTTTCGATTGTCTTCTATTTAAGGTATTCAAAACAAAATTGAATGGTTGTTTTCTTGTCTTTATGCAAATGAAAGCTGACGACTTCCCTGTAGAGAAAATTTACAGTATTTCATTCGGAAATGACTTTCTTAATAACAATAGCTTGCTTAAAGAAGCAATAAACTCTCAAAGCTATTCACTTGATAATAAATCTTTGAAGCACAGCCTGACAGATAAAAATAATTTAGTACTGTATATAAAATCACAAAAACGGTTAAAAAAAAAACTAGACTTGACTCGGTTCCATTCCCAAATAAAACAATTATTGACGCTTTCGTCATCAGTTGCGTGCCGGATCCATTTCCATATTGTTGCTTACCACTTTTACACACTTCAATAAATTACGGGTATACGAGTATGTTCCCCACTCGCACAGTTAAGCGTGAATGTTTATCAACAATTCGATACTAGATTATCGACACTCCGAAAATACAAAACGTTATAAAACACACATTTTTATTACCCATTCAAAATAATAATTATCATTTGCTGCCTCAGTATTTGCCGCATAAATTTAAAAAACCTTTGAGTTTACATTATGCAAAAATTATATAAACATACATACACAACTGCTAAACAAAAAGGTCAACAGGCAGGCAAAATGTTTATTTGCAGTTGACTGCTAAGATCTGGTCAAGAAATTTACGTAGAAAAAACACGCCGTTAAGCTTTTGCGGCAACGAGCGACGTGCCTCCAACGAACGCTTGAAAAGCTCAGAAGCAACTGACACATGCAATGAACTACAAACGGGCCTAGACCTGAACGAGTGATCGCAGGCTCACTCTCTCTCCCACTGTCGTTCTCTCTCGCTCTCTGTTTTTTCTCTGTACGCTCTGTAGCGAAATGCCAATTTAGCTTTTTTCCCTCCATTTCTGATGTTTTGAAAATGTGAATAAAATTTAATAATTGTCCAACCAGACCCAGATATTATAAAAAAAGAAAATCACGAAAAAAACATATTGTTAATTAAAAGAATTTTAAAATTATTACTTTATAGAAACATATTTTTAAAAATCTCATCAGTTGTGTTCTGATTAGGTACTTCAATCGATATATTATTAAAAATTTGCATACTTTAAAACCGTACTTAGAGCTCTACTTGCTATAAACAAGTTTTTTTTTTTAATGAGCGAACCATTAACAGAACAATTGGTCCTTGTTTAGTTTTATGTTTAAGTTTTCACTTAGATCTGATCCGTATTTTCTCCTTATATAATTGGAAATGTTTTCTTTAAACATAAAATTCTTTTTTAAATTTTCTTGTAATATTTGTATATAAAAAAGAATATTTTTTTAAAATGAAGAAATATTGTTCTATTATTAAGATATTTATTCCACAAAACAAGAATATATGTATTTGTTGTATTATTAATGATAAGTTATCTGTGCTTCAGATAGGGAACAATATAAATATTTCGACCTGATCATACCTTAATCACAAATAATTCATCAAGACCGACCAAAACACACTCTTATATTTGTATATTGTTGCAATCCTTGGAACCGCCTGCCTTGTCTAACAACACATTTTATAAATGAAATTTTCATATGGTAATACACGAATTTGGGGGTCTGTGGATAAAAATTTGTGTCAATAAATATAAACTACTTCAGAATTAACTGAAACGTATTGGAACAGACTTCTCTTAGGGCAATGATATAAAAGTTAAACAGTTAAGTTTTTAAACTCTAATCCAAAAACTATAAAAATTCTTTTTTGGTTGTTCACAACTTCTTCCAAAAGCTGGCAACATTGGCAACACTGATCTCTATGCCCGCTCTTCGGCTCTCTCTTGCGCTCTCGTAGCGCTCTTTACCCAAATGGGCTAATTGTTGTTGTAAATGCACAGAAGCTGATAGAGCAGAGAGCTAATGACACGCACAGCCGTACGAAAGAACTTTTGTCATGACATACACAGCAAATTACAAAAACAAATCAAATACATAAAGAAAAAATAACGGCATTGCATGCCCTGCGGCGCAGAAGCTCGTCAGACAGCCAGTGGCTGTTCGCGGCCAGACAAAGTTCATTGAATGTTTATTTTCACATGAATGCACGCGCAGCTCAACGACGCCTATAAATAGGCTACACGAACATGAACTGTGGACGTTAAGCCGTCGCGCGCGTTAAGCTATAAGAAAACAATTACCCACACACGCAAACACACACACATACCCGAATCCGCAGACAAGCAACTGCTGTCCTGACGCATAAAATGCGAAAATCTCATACGCCCCGTTGACACCGAGCGAGGTCAGCACTTTTTGGCTAAAATCAATACTCACAAAGTAATAGAAGTTCGTCAATTCCTTAGCTATTTATTGGCGAATCGCGTATTGCTCTTGCGAAATTCTTCCTATGAATAATTAACGTCTACTTTTGTCCCGATTGGCTGCGGAACGCATTTGTTGTCCAGCAGTGACCACGTTTCCCGCTAAGCGTTAATGCCGTCTACGTGTGCGGCTACTGCTGCTCCCTGCAATGCACTACCATGCACATTTACCCTTTGCATGGGCGATTGTTAAATAAATATTGTTGTAAGCTGCAGCCGCAGTTGCGGTAAGGACCAGTAATCGAATTATTCGATAACGCAATCTCTTAGCGATATAAGCTCAAAGAAACACACCAAATTACTAGCGAAAATAAAACCAAAAAAAGTGAGAGAATTGTTTACCATTAAAATAACAGTTTATTAAATTTTAAAAATTGTTTAAAAAAATCAAATATTGCATACTTTTACATACATTTTAAGCGCTCTATAGCAGCCAGCTTGTGTCCGTTGCTGCACAGATGGCACCACCACAACGCAGCCAACTTCACGCACCACTTCTGTTAGAGATGAGCAGCAGTATGGTCACAGTTTTTATTAAAATAGCCAATATTTTATAAATTATTAATTTCCAGCTATTTATTTACTAAACATAATAGTAATAATTTAATTTGTAATGTTAATAAATATAGTTAAAAATGCATCAGCTTCTCTTCAACAAATTGTAAATTTAAATATCTCGAACAACTCCACTGCAATAAAAAGTTATCGCGTTACTTTGCATACTCAGATCCTAAGCCAACTGCGACTCACGACAAAATAACAGATACTTAAATACTGCTCATCTCTAACCTCTTTCTTTTTCAGCCTCCATTGACGAGTGGTCGGTTCGCTAATTTGTAATTTTGTACAAAAGTAAGTTAAACGCCCGCTATAAAAACAAAAAATACAAACAAAATGTAATCGATAATGTACTTTTCCATCTACAGCTCAAAAAAAATGGAGAACGACGCCGGTGAGAATGTTGATTTGTACGTGCCCCGCAAATGGTGAGTCAAACACGTGTTTCGCGGCACACTGCACTGTGGTTCGAAATTACCACACAGTGAAACATTTGCTAATTCTGTTAAAATGCAAATTTGCAGCTCGGCATCCAACAGAATCATCCACGCCAAGGATCACGCTTCGGTGCAATTGAATATTGTGGATGTGGATCCCGAGACCGGCCGCATGACCGAGAACTCCAAGACCTACGCAATTTGCGGCGAGATCCGTCGCATGGGCGAGTCCGATGATTGCATCGTCCGTCTGGCCAAGAAGGACGGTCTCATCGCCAAGTAAGCAACAACTTATGTGAATGTAGTATTCGCAATAACTAATTTGTTTTGTGTGTTTTGTTTTGCAGGGTCTTCTAAATATGTAAATACCAAGTGGTGGTAATAAAACAAACTTCATTTGTATTTAATATAAGATACTCAAATTTTGTGTTTTCTTTTAAACCACTGGAATAAATGGAGAGACAATTTCGAGGTATCCAGCAAGAAGCTTTGTCACATTTTTAAATGCTTAAGGCGTTGTTTACAGATCAGTAGCCAATAGGTAGTAGTAGAAGCCAGGCCTGAAATTGTAATTTGCACGCCGCACGCCATTTGATATACATAGTTTATTTTATCTATTTTTATTTTATGTGTACATGTGAACAAGAGTTAAGCTATTTTAGGGAATATTGAGCAAACAGGAGATTATAGGATGGAAAATTGCAGCACTGCATATTTGTGCGATTCCACGACGACGTCTTTGAATATTCGATCTCCAGATCCTTCATAGTTTCATACGCCAAGGATGATTTGTTTGCGAATATCGACACAATGAATTTTGCGGGTTGGAATGTCTTGATAACTTTATTTATAAGATTCGTATAGTTGTCCAGTGCCACGTTGCTCTCAAAGCTTACGTAGGAGAACTTTTTCTCTGGTGTTATGTGTATAGTCATGTACTCGCCCTTTTTATTGATTCCATTCATCGAATAACCGCAAGGCTCAAACAGAAAATCGTCAATATCCATATCTGGCAATATTTGATCGATTCCAGAGTTTGAAGTGGCTTCATGGGCTTCCGAAAACTTATCTTTGGTAAAAATGGTCATCTTGTTGGGATCAAGATTCTGCATCAGAATTTCAATAGTTTGGTCGGGATCTGCTTTTTCCGGACCTTCCTTTATATTGATAGCTTCAGACTTGCTAAAAGTGTAGAGATACCAGCATTCTTGATTAATTGAACCCAAACAGTAAGACCTTCCCTCTGGAAAGATTGAGTCCAAGTAGGTTACTTCCTCGCAGAAGCCTCTATGTGGCGACAACTGAACCTCGGGCTTAGTAAAGTTCTTTCGCGAATAGAACAAGTCACATATTTCTGTAAATCCGTACTGCTTTGCAATCTTTAGAAATGGCTCCAAGCACTGCAGCGGAGTCGTTGTGCCGCATGTTTTTAAAATCAGCCTCCTCTTTGATACAAACATACTGCTCTCACTTAATACATACGCATCGATTAACGTATTCCGGGAGAAGCTGATAATTTCACAATTGACATGCCTTAGTAAACCTTCCCATTCTTCGCGAGGTATAGTTCGTAGGTCATCTATATTGTTTGCACTCTCAGAAAACCATATCTCCAGCAACTTCTCGACCCCCTCAAAAAAATAGCTATTATCTTCCGGCATTATTCAGCTACTGATAGTATCTTATCCCTTATCAATCAATGCGCACACGTGTACATACGAATCAGGAATCCACCAGTTTCACGCGATTATGTATAAATTGGAGATGCTACATAACGTATGTGATGCGAATTCGTTCGATACCGAGTACTTGTGCGGTATTTCTTTTTGTAGTCAATCACAATCAGCTGTTTTTACACAATTCGCAGCAAACAAAACCTATGTATATATGTATGTACATATGTAAGTGCCAAAATTAAATTTACACAATTGACTACGTAACTAAACTATCAGAGAATTACATACCTACCATAAAATGATAAAAAATCAACTTATTCATAATAAGAACAAAAACTACATTATTGTCTTTCCGTCTAACCCGATTACCTCAATCTTAATCTTTCGAAGTAAATAAGCATTTTGATCTACATTTCGGGCTCAAATTTTATAAGTTTGTTGAAAACAATGCTCGGAAACATCTGAATAGAAGAGTAATACCCCCAACGATGGGAATATGTCAATATATTTTTAAAATGCATCTGAACTTACATACAGAGTATATCAACATAAATTTCAGCACTCTTAAATAGAAGGAGAAAACAGTACAAAAAATATAAAAGCATACTTTATGGTAACCATTTTAACTGTACTTCCTATAGTTGGGTGACTGAAATTTGTTAGAATTCATTATATAAAAATCTACTTCAGATAAATTCAAACCGATTTTGCCGCTCTACTGCTAAGTTGTATATTTATTCCTTTTTGAAATGTGGTCACACTTGCTATCGGCTCTTCGATATATTTCATTGTACTTATTGGCAATCGTTTTCCACAAATGAGGGCGCTTGGACGACTCAGCGTCCGCGAATTAGTAACAAAAATATTCTTTTAAGTGGAACGTAACGTAATAATATTGCTGAACTATTGCTAAAAAACGGTGTCAGTGCTCTAGTTCAGTAGTTTAGTGCATAAATTGCAGTGCAGCCTAAAAAAAAGAAACGCAACAACCGTAAACGCATTAAAAGAAAAACGCCTGCTACAAAATTGACGCGCTGAAATCGCTCACAAAATGTGAAGAGCAGTTTAAACAAAGACAAACAGAACAATTTTATTTAATCTTAAAATATAAAATAACAAGCAGTGACAACGAAAACATAACATTGTGCGTGGGCGCAAGACTGCAGTAACCCACCAATTTATTCAGCAGCTGTATCTAGCTACTTTATTTCTTTCTTTTTCGAACAATATTAAGGTAAGCTTGCATGTGAAGATTTACTAGAAGTTGTTGGCGCACCTTTCCCTTAAATCCATTTTTTGTTTTTTCCCACCAATCATATTGAAATAGATGCGCAGTCTGACTCATAATTGCGCAAAGAAACATCATTACCTTTGTAGTTAGAAAAACTTGCTCATATTTAGGCCTTAGAATACGTTGCCAAGTACCACATTCTCTTTTGCTTATTTTTATAGTCGTGCCGAAACCCCCACACCCCTCCCACAGCAATAAAAAGACACCACAGACACTGCTTCGGTGCACTTGCACCTAAAATGCACCCAACGAAGTAACGGCATAAGCTATGTATTTAGTCACACTTTTGCACAGGTATGTGTGCGTTCATTCACTTTTATTTGCTCTTGGCGTCGCTCTCTTCTCTCCCTCCCCTCCTGCCATAGTTGCTATTTGTGTTTCATGTTAACATATTATGTTGCGCTACCCCCCGTCGTCCGTAACCAAACCAAAAACTATAGCAGACGCTCTCTCAATTTGGCACAACTCTCCATAAACAACTGCGCAACTCTTATCTGTTTACGCGTAACCCATTCGTACCTGTCTCTCTAACTGTAATTGTCTGCTGTTATTATTGTTGCCACCATAGTTTTCGGTGGGCGCGCACTCAATGGGAAAATAAAGCAAAATTTCTGCTTATGACAGCAGCAATTATAAAAATAGCAACAATAGAACAGCTACATACATATGTACATACATATGCACATCATCACATGTACATCATATACATATACTACAGCCAGAACGACTGTCCGCAGCCTCTTCTTCCATGTTACGTTAGAGTATATTTTGTTTGATGCGTACATATGTATGTTTGTAATGCCCATATGTTATAGGTACATATGTATGTATAAATATGTTCAAATACTATGTCCATCTGTCTCTTTCAATAAATTTCAAGTTGCCATAACGTTAAAACTTTGCACGGTCTTTTCTTTTTGACGAACACAGATAGCATGTTGAGCCGGACCTTGTCATAAAACGATATGATTAAAGATGTTTGTTGCGAAACAAAGCGCACATTGAGAATGTTTTAGTCATATCTGATAGTATAAAATCAAAATATAAAATAAAAAATACTTTCTAATGAAGCGAATTATGATATTTCGTATATACAAGTATTTGCTGATAGTAGCCACGAAGGAATGAAGTTCGCGTTTGAAAGACATGGTGAAGGGTATATGACTTTGGTGCAGCCGTAGAAAGCTTTTTAGCTCGTTGTTCATGTATTTTTGCACGACATCTGAACACCAGGGCAGAGCGTCTCTTTTCACTTTCAAAACATGGTCACGCGAGTGATCGACTGACGGACCCGCGCACCCGCATGCATTTCGCTCCAGACCTTTTCAATCATTTTAATTGCCTTTAAATAAAATTAAACGTTTTTGTTTACACATTTATGATTTGTTTTGCTTTGCGTGCACTTTTTTATTTGCTCATGTAATCGAAGCGCAACGAAGAGAAGGGCAGGTCAGTGCCGCAGAGCATTTGCCCACTTAGCATACGAGGCCGGCCCGATTCGGTTTGGTACGCGTCTCTCTAAGATGGCAATCAACTACAAAAGTCATTTACATAAATTCATTATTCTCCCTCCTTGGCATTCGCCTCTATCGACTGGTCTATCTACACACTTCGCTTTCACATTCCACCGGCACGCGCTAAATAAATTTATGCCCAGGCCCTACACAAACAACGTCAAATGTAAATGAAATAGGAGGCCTAACATGAGGCTGTCGCTAGCAAACAAATGTGTGTGTGCTCGTATGTGCGTGTGTGTGGGTGGGAGGGCACACGCCTGCTCCTTAAGTTGCCCTCCCATGACCTTTAAAAGCACCTCAGCTTATGTAACGACGTTCGCTCAGTAATCACCGAGTGTGGCAGACGGCTCCCCTTTATGCATAATGCAACAATAGGTGGCTGTCAAGCCTTGCTTTGTTTTGACTTTCTGTCCAGCCAGCTGCCATCACCCCCTCATTCATGCACCCCCTACATACATACATGCTTAAGTTTTGCGAAATAAGACGCAAAAAATGATCCATATGTACGAGTACATGCATTTTCCATATGGCTTATTCCTGAAGTCCGCCTTAGTGTTTTAGAAGTCTTTGAAAGAGAAAACTTATAGAACGATTAGAGGTTCTATTAACATAGACTAAACACTTATATTTAAGGCAAATTGAACACGTTTCTAAACGTTCTGCTTATATGTATTTTTAAGTCTGCTTTAACATATGATAAGCCCATATGAGAAGCCCATTCGAAGACAGGACCAACGAAAAGGCTATAATTATACTAAGAACTAGAAATTGTACTCATTTCTTATATTATGATCCTATTTTAAAACTAAGATTAATGGGATATTTAATAAAATACAATTTTTTACATCAACTCAGTTCCTCAGGTTGTCAGGAAACGGGCATGAAAAGAACATTTCACACAGATTAGTTAAAGTAGAAAACTGCCTTTTATTATACAAATTGTCTATCTTTTGTTTTAAGTCATATAATATTCACGCAAAATATTTGCCTGTCGGACCCTTCATTAAACAATTTGCTCAGAATTCTTACTGAAAGAAAATACGAGTATACTATATATGTACATATTCTTTAAGTTTGCCTGTCGGCATCTTTCTCATGATTAGGGATCTTTCGCATAGCTAGAAAATAATATATAACTAACTATAAATAACTCTTAAAGTTTATGTACAAACTATTTGTCTGTCAGACCATAACTGAAACGTGGGTTTCAATTTATTTTACTTAAAGCTCAGAGGAATAATACAACTATAATTTGTATGCGCCCCCTGCTCACTTATTTCGCCCACCTTTTTGTTCTTGCGCCATCACTTTGTTGCTGACCTTACATACGATTTACTTTTTCAGTTGCCCTTTCACCGCCTCTTTCGTTCTAAGTACTTTGTTTTTCATACACAAATATATATATAGTATATATATAGTATATACATCCATATTGTACATGTATGAGCTGACAAAAGCGATGCCTCTGTTTTCTTTCTCAACTTTTACAGCGCTTATTGTTGTAGTTGTTGCCCTCATTTTAGGCCAGAAACTTATGCATAAATAAGTAGCTTATAGACCAAAACACCCGCCGCTCAACTTTGTCGCGTATGCCCCAAAAAGGCGAATACGTGTGCTGTGCTTACCCCAACGCAACGGCCACGTGAGCTTTAATTGCAATTTTGTAAGTATTCAGCGAACGTGTCTGTCCACTGTTCTAGCATGGGTTCTATATTTGATTGATTTCGGCATGATTCCTATATCTATCATCATTTATTGCATGCATCGATTGTGGCGACCCTTGCATTATCCACTGAAACTGTGGGCCTTATTGTTCGTTATACTCTCTAGTCAAACCGACTAGCAAGTATTTGCATTTGCTTAATCGTGCAGCTGTAATTTCAAACAGCCTTTATTTATTTTTACTGACATATGTATGTATATAGTTTGTGTAAGTAGTATTGCGTATTTTCAATTGCAAGTTGTTCTATCGTTTCTACTTTTTCAAGTTATTTTTTCCCCTACATATTGACTAAAGAATCAAACAAAGGCAAACGAAAGAGCTCCAAACTTTGAATTAATTTTAACTTTGCATGCATCATTTATGAGAGTCAGACGCTTGACTCACAAAACTGGGGCATTATACCATTCTAAATCTGTATGTATTGGGAAAAGAAAAAAGCCTAAATAGATGCATGTTTCCAGAACAATTTGTTGCTTTTATGTTGGTTTTCGAATTTAACAACGCAAAAAAACAGTGAGCAGAATGTCTTTATCTATATTTCTATTGAAGGAAATGGTATAAAATATATATTACACAATTTTGTTTATACATACTTAAAACCAAAAGATACATGTATATAAGAATAGGATAATTGGTATATATGGTGACTGCAAAAATTCAACAATGCCACAGGCCGGTCTACTTAAGCAAAAGAAAGCACGATAAACAAGATGTTATTATGGCATTCCCCTCGCAGTATTGGAATATAAATCTTAGAACCATATGTAGACCAAAAACGAATTGTCAAGGAATGGAATGGAAATCTCAAGTTGTTTGATCCATACGTAGAACGAAATAAAACTAACGAAGATCTCTCACGTTTATACAGTTAATCTATTAATGTTAATTTCGATCCACACTGAGACGAAATTAAATACAGTATCTCAGAGTCGAAAGGCTTTAACCCATTTTTGATCGTCGAGAAATCAAGATGTCTGATTTCTGCGGCAAAATAAATATTCAAAGTATTTATATCTAAATAAAGTTACTCAATATCACTGTTTTTTGTAAAACCATAACAACAAATTAAGACGTTGTAAATTTAGAAACAAGTAGTCCCCAAACTCTTCAACTAAAAGCATCTTGAGATCTTTTATTATCCTTTTAAAAAAGCGGATAATGGAAACATCATATTACAATAACAGATATATTAAAACCAGCCATTACAACCAACTCCTTAATTGATGATAGCTTTGGAACAGATCGACTTCGCTAAATCCTCGGATCGGTGAATATATTTTTAGACTTTTTGCTATAGCTTTACAACTTTGAAATAGATTTACAAAGTTTGAAATGCAATTATAATTATAAATTATGCTTCTATTTAGTTTCCAGTTTAAAATGGTCATATCTGGCCAAAAGATAAGCCCCTGAGTATACCTCCTAAGCATTCGTTGCCTGCAGAAACAATTTGCCAAAGATGAAGGCATACAAAGAAGAGACGAACCGAGAAAGACGTACAGTTCTTTTTAGCGCAATGAAGCATGTCTTGAGACTTCTGATAGAGGTCTGTTCTTCTTAAAGGCAAAGATTCTTTTAGCTTAGGCTCCTATACATTTTAAAGTTTCCGATTAGGCATGCACACTAACCAGTTTCCGTTGCGTGAGTCACAACCATAAAGAGTTTGGCTGTACGCGCGTGGTGTCTGGCATTCAGTGCACTTG